CTACGGCACGAGAAGTGCAAAAACGCATAATCGCACCGGCCCGCCTGGTGCGTTCCAGCCTAGGTTACATCTGGACATCATTTCTTATCACTACACCACTGGTCATTGTGCTCCAGGTTCAGTCTGGTAGCACACCTACTGTCTGTATGACTTTTAAAGCAGGATACACTTTTCTTCTCTGCTTCTCATGAGCGGTTTCCATCTTTTTTTTTTGCGGCAGCTTTTTGGCCGGCTTTTCACGGATTTCCCGCGACATGCCGCACTGGTTGGGTAAACCTGCATGCACTGCTTCGCTTGGAGTCAGTAAATGTACTGCAATTTCCTGTGAAAGAATAATGAGTAAACTGGGCCTCCGCCCTGGAATTTTGAAAGCATGCACGCAGGCATGTTTTTATACTTGTTGGAGCCGTTAGATAACGTTGAGGTGCTCGGTCTGGATTCTGCAAGGACGGGATGTGCAGCCATGCGTCATCGAGGAAGGCAGAAGGTTGGCTAATAAATTGGTGAGAAGGGCAGTTAATTAGTGACAAGAAATATCTAAATCAACAATTTTTTACAAAAAAAGAGTCTGCAATTTGCTCCTGCAGCTTCATTTGATAATTTGCAGGCATGAGAATCCAAATTTCCGGAGCAGTTTGCAGCACAAACCAAAAGCAATTTCTGCTGCCAAAGAGCGCAGAGGCGTTAAAGTCCTTGGTATTATTTTAGGATGTTTCACAATTTGTTGGACACCGTTTTTCATGTAAGTTATTGCCTTCCGCATATTTTTCAATCTATACAGTCACTAGTCGAGAACTTTAGCTGTGCTTTTCTTTCCCCACTTTAAACTTTCCATAGCTGCTGTTCAAAATGTCACCGTTGAAGATACATTAAAAGGAAATAAGAGAAAAGGAGCATGACAGAGAGATATCATGACGGGAGGATGGATTTCCTATTTCCTGTTTGCATTCAGAGGTGTGGATAGGACGAAAATCCGCATTAAAGGAGACTAAACTGCATGCTTTTGATTAAGCTTATATTTCGAAACGTTTTTCATATAATTTTTACATATTTATGCAAGTGCAAAAACGCATATTGACGAGAAATTGTCTGTGTTGTTACCGACTTTTACCCCAGTAACTAGTGAAACAGTGAAACTTCTTCAGCATGTTTCTTCTTCATATGTAATGCTCAGATCTCTGAACTCATCGTACTCTTACGCCTGGATCTCACGCACGAACTAATTAAAAGATTTGTGCAGATTTTTTGGCGGAAAAGCGACTTCGAAGAATAAACAAGTTAGGAAGCTGAAATTTTGTAAGGACATTCTGTGCTCTTACGTGATTTCCACTGCATCCTGCCGTGTGTTTATCATATAATAATCAAGCGTCGCTACCACATCTGACTGTTACAGCAGAAATATTGACAAATTTATGATATACATTCAAAGTGACGTACTAATGTACCCTTTCAATTTTCAGAATGTACGTTGTGTTGCAGTTTTGCTCATCTTGTGAAGTAAATCCACACATCTGGATGTTCATTACTTGGTTGGGATACAGTAACTCGGCGATGAACCCAATTATTTACACGGTACATTTTGATTTAGTGCATTAGCAATTAAAAGTGAAATGCAAATGTACAAAAGATCACACAAATGCTCAAAGCAGCTTGGATTTCGTAAATCGCGAAGATGGAGTTGTGTTCCAGGATAATCTGTAACTGAAGAAATATGAATCTTGGTTTTCTTTCAGTTTCCCGAACTTGTCGCCACTTCTACATCACTGTGTTCGCGGAGGACAATCAAAAATGTAGAAAATTAGGGGGAGCTGAAATTAATTAAACTGTTATTATTACAAAGCGCTGCAAACGAAAGCAAATAAATATGACTTTTCTGGCTTCTTCAGGTCTTTAATCGGGACTATCAGATTGCACTGAAGAAGCTATTCAACAAAAGCGAGCTGCGCAGAACGAATCCGAAATAGTTTGACTGTCAGTGATCCAGACAAACATAAAAGCACAGCAGTTGAAGTGGAAAATCTTCTTCCGAACAAAGACTGATCCAGAAAGCGTCTTGCCCCGATTATCACTTTGATATGCTTTTTATGAAGGGTTGCCAGCTCAACTCGAATGCGATTCTAGGATATTAATAAGTTATAATTTGCAGGTATTTCTTTAAAATTTCAGTGTAATAAAGGAATGTGTGGAAAATCCATAAATATAGCTCTCTGGAAATTCACTGGAAAAATATCTGATCTGGCATTTTGGTTGAACAATGCAAAATTTGAAGCACACAGATTTTTTGATTTTAAGTCAGCCACTGCTCTCAAAAGCTGTAAAACGTCCTAATTATGAAAGCAATGGCGCAAACGAAGCAGCAGGAAGATCACTTCCCTCAAGAGGTGCGATTCTGTGTGTCAAGGTTAGAATCGCCTTTATTTTGTCGAAAGTTGGGCATGCCATTGAATTTCAGGGTTGAAGAAAATGCAGCTGTAGACTTATTTCTACAACACAAACATGGTATCGTTTCCATAAGTATTGTGGTTTCATTTTTGGAGCGGTACAGATTTTTTGGAATTAATGCAGTTACATAAAAAGTGATAGATAAGACTGCGCGCACCAGCATATAGGAGCACACTGTGAATAACACTGATGTTGTGGAATGATAACACTACTATGGTTCACACTAAATTCCATACCAAATTTTCTTTAAATACTGTTCGTTTGGCCCAGCTGCCAATGCCATTTCTAGCTGCTCTGTTCACACCTCAAACTTGGGTGATATAACCATATATTTACAAACAGTTTAGTGTTACCTGATTACACTGCACATAATAAACTAATCATGCAAACAACAAAAAACCTAACTATAATACTGTTATAAGCTACTATCTTCAAAGAACTGATAAACTTATGCACGTACAACAGAAGGTGCAACAGAAACTATTATAAGCTGACAAAACGGCGCTACCGGAACCTTTGACCTTTTACTCATTGATTAAAAACGGACGGTCATTTCTTAACCATTTATACAGTACTATATCAAAAAGCTAAAACGAAGGGGAAATTAGTACGTTTTTTAGTATCGAAAAAAGAAAGATGATAAATAATGTTTTAAGCGTCTTAGACGGCCGGATCTGTGTTCCAAAAACTTTAGCTTCCCGAACTTCCACAATTCCAGTCAGTGAAAGTTAAAAATTTAGCTAACTTGCAAAAGAACGCAAAAGCTTTAGGAATTCAACTTCGCAACAATCGCACTAATTTTACCGATCACTTCTGGCGTTACCCGGCAACATCCACCTATCACTTTCACACCCAAACTCTTCCATTCCGTTAGCTGTTCCAAACTGGGAAAAATGCATTCGGTAGCTTTCCACCTGAAAAAGTTCTTTACTGCATACAAGATTTTGTATTTAAGAGGAAGCCTTCTATCGTTCACGACGGTACCACTGTACCTTTTTTGGGTACTCCACTGAAAGAAAACGGACACAACACAAGCGCACTGCTGGATCGTCTTTTCCAACAGTAAATTTCAGTGGTGATGTACAACGCAGTTTAGGTTTTAAGCTTCCTTTATCGTTATTCAAAAACGACGCTTGAAAAATTTAAAGTATGTAGTTACCGCTGCTTTCACTCAATTTGGGAAAGTGCGCAGAAGGAAGCGGGGAGCGAGTAAGTAAGAAAGGAAAGAAGGACGCAGAAATGCTTTGGAAATAATTTTTTTTAAAAAAATTTAGAGCCTTTTTCCATTCGCGGCAACTTGAACAAGATGCAGTTATGATTTAAAAAGCATATAGATGAAAAATGAGGGAAAACGTTTGACCTCTTCTCGTCTGTTTTGTATGCTTCGCCACTATTTGGATAAACGATGAAGGGCAACGCGTTGGCAAATGTCCGGCTACACTGCAGAAGCGGCGTTACATAATCCGGAGATGTGCAGTTGATTCCTGAAATGCGTCTCCAGCGTCTATTCAAACTGCATACTGCTCAAATGTTAAATTCACTTTCAGTTCGGAATTCTTACATCATCCATTCGCGTATTTCACCTGCCTCATTCGAAGCGCAGAATCTTCATTTTTACACGGAACAATAAACAATGTTGATTTCTTTTCATATTAATGCCCAGATCCGACATTCCCTATGCAAACACCAGGAACGGTTTCTTTTCGGTATAAAATGTAATTATTTGACTGACAGAACTAACTCCAGTAGTGGTAAGGAGTCATCGGCCTTTTGGTATAAAAACTGCAAAAACAATAATTAACTTACCAATTCCATAAATCTTTGGGTGATGCGAGATTGTCCTCACAGTTTCCGCAAAAGACTCGTTGTGGTTCGTTCGTTTACCGTCCTGAGATAAAAAGTTTGAGAGACTGGGCAAGAATCGTGCAAAAACCTGGTGTATTGCTAGAATTTGAAATCCATCTATTGCTAGAACTTAATGCTCATCATCCCCTCTTCACCCTTGCCACCGATCTTAAAGTTTGTAATGAAAAAAAAAAGTAAAGCTCCTTGCAAAAACTCACTTGACAAGAGAATGAGATCCAGAATTTGTACGAATAAGATATGGAATCTGCAGCTTTTAGTATGGCCAACGCTTCTTTGCGCGACGGAACTGTTTCGTAAGCTATCAAATTCAGGCCTGCCTTCAGCAGTGGCACCGTCTGCTGCACATGGTATTCAACCATAATCTGTTGTGAAATCAAGAATAATTATTTTCTTTTCATAAAATCTCTCTTATAATCGCTCAGAATCTTCACGGCTTACTGCCTAACTCTACGATAAATTGTTTTTGTCTAATTGCTATTATGCTTCAGACTTAAGCGGCATGGACATGTTTGACAGTCTCCAGCACGAAACTTGCCAGAAAACAATTGCGCCTGGCCAGTTAAGCCATCGAAAAACATCTTACACATAGCGACACAAATTTTGAATATTTCCACCTGCATGCACGCTCACTCGCTCAAAAATTTTAACAGTTCTGAATGCAACGCTACACCTTTTCACTTATTTTATCGACGTAATGCCCATTATACTCGGAACCATCGAACAGCGTTACTCCATAAGGTCCCACAGAACCCACTACATCAACTTTTCGCTGCACCGAACATTCTTCCACCGCCTGCCGTGCCAGTGCGACCGCTTTCTGCAGAAGCCAAACAGTACTTCGAAGTATTCCTCGTATATTATTATTATTATTATTATTATTATTATTATT